TAAATACGTTATACTATAATTACTAATTAATATTATATAGTAATATATTACATAATATTATTAATATATATATGTTATTAAAATATTAATATATGTTATTATATAATATTATTAATATATGTTAATAAATTATGTTATTTAAATATTAATATATGTTACTAAAATATTATATAATATTATAATAAATACGTTATACTATAATTACTAATTAATATTATATAGTAATATATTACATAATATTATTAATATATGTTATATTTTATATATCATGCCATATATTTATAATATAATTGTATGTATTAGTTAAATAATACAAAAATATTTTAAAATTATCCCAAGTGCCTTCAAAGTAAAACAACATTATGCCAATACAGAGGATGAGGTAAATTTTTACTATTTGACAAAATTTTGTATATGAGTAGGGTTATTTTATCCCAAGTGGTGTAATTGTCTCACTAGTGTTCCAAAAAAATAATAACACAAAAAGATATTATCCTTATTCCATTATCTTAATGATTAACACTATAAAATAAAATCTCCAAAATTATCCCATTATCCCCCAAAATATCCCAACCAATACCCCCCTTAACCCCAATTTGTCCCAAGCATTAACCCCCTCAGAGAACATATCCAATATTTTCGACTTTCCACAACACTAAGCCAAAATATTTACTATTATATCACATAATATCAAAATCATTTCACATTCTTGCAAACATCCAAACTCCGGACAGATAACTGGACAAGATGCACAGTAAAACTTAACCAAATTGGTTGTGCAAAAAAATTAATAATAATAATAATAATAAAGTCTACATAACTATATTGCTGAACATTGATGAAAATCACACCAAAATATAGTTTCTCCAAACCAACCACAAACTTCTCAAGCACGAAACGACAGGATTTGATGACAGAAGATCACTCTCACTCAACCCTTCACACATTTGGTCATCAAAACAACTCACTGCTGCTTGCACTCCGGAGGACGATCAGCTCCATCTACACCGATCTTCTGCAGTTTACGTATGTATTTGTTCATTATACAAAACAAGAATTCAAGGTGATGCTTATTTTACAAGGGTTAACTGTAGAGACCCCTTATAGGGTTGCACGTTGGAACTTACCATCCACGTAGTTTGATTTTTGCCTTTTGGCAAAAAAGATTGACCCTCGTTGGAATTAATTTTGAACCCTTAACATGGACTGAAATTATGGCATGTGTTACCCCCAGTAAGATGAAATTAGTGAGCGTATCCTAGCGTGATAAGTTCCAAAGCGTGATACTAGAGTCCGTCCAATTAACCCTTTTGCAAATGTCAAATGAATGGTTAGAGATCACACCTTTTGACCTGAAACTGACTTCTTTTTTGGTTTGGTTTCTTCTTCTTCTTCATCGTCTTCTTCGTCCTCTTCCTCTTCATCCTCATCCTCTTCATCATCTTCATCTTCTTCATCATCTTCAGCTTCGTCTTCCCCGACAAGGTCAAAATCATCATCGTGGGCAGCCTCTCCAGTAAACCACGATACTGCATGTGGGATAATCTTGTCTCTGATAGTAGACCTGCAACACAAAGCAAGTCGGTATTATATCACAAGAAAACTACAAAGTGACTACATATTATTAAGACTTCCAAGTCAGTTTGGATATAAAAGGAACAACTGGACAAATCTTTAACATCCAATATCTCAAACACATTCAACAGGAAGCTCAGCTTTTGATAAGAAGCTAGCAACTTCTGATATATTACTATAGACTAACCCTACATCATAATCCGACTGACTACACAGATGAACTTACCCTATATCATAATCCTGCTCCATCTGATTCTGAAGCTCCTCAGCCTGTTCAACAACAGAGAATAGAATATACGATCACATCTGTTATTTTCAAAAGTTTTCCATTTCTAGGAAGGCAGCAATGACAACTTACGGTATCTTCATCAATATCTTCATCATCCTCTGGAACTTGAGGGGGATTGAAAAAGTTGAAAAAGCTCTCACAAGTTTCGGTCTTGGTTATTGGCTTGGCATTCTTTGAACCCTTTTTGGGCTTCTTTTTCAAAACTTTCTGTGTCAAGCACTTCCCTGGGAACCATTCAATTTCAGTCCTACAGTAAATAACAAAATATAACTCAGTAAGCAACCAGAAAATAAGAATTAAGAAGTACAAGCTGATAAGAAAAAAAATACCCTATTGCCTTCTCCAGAATTGGCTCATCATCGTCAATCATGTGATAAGTCTTGGTCAAGACAGAATTCTTAAAAAATGGGTTAGTATCAAAAAAGAATTCAAGCTTGAAACCCTTTGGACTATCAAGTCTTGACCACTTGATATCCTTTAGGAACTTTAGAGCTTCCTCATCCCGCTCTTGGATCTGCATACAGAGAATATCTCATTAGACATGAACTATAGATCTCGAGGAGTTAATTCACAAAACAATCTGTTCATTTGGCCAACCTCATCAGAAAGCACTTCGTTGGTCTTCATAGCAGTAAACCAGAAACCCGGCACACCTTTTTCTGAAAAGAGGGGGAAATATTCACAAGCCTAACATAGCATATTTTTAAATATAAATTCCTGTGTTCTGATATACCAACCTTCAGTGGCTTCATCAGCTTTATCCTCAGTCGCAGTTACATCAGCGTTTTCTTTTGCAACACTTTCAACTTCAACCACACCATTCACAATTTCATATCTCTGTGCAATGACAAGGGAAAGGTCGGAATATGAGAATGAAAGATTATTGATATTCTGTGACAAGACAAGTATGATCATTCTAGCAAAGTGCTTTCAGACTTTCCAATGAACACTACAAAAACCAGTGCCTAAACTTCATAAAACATCTGATAACATTTTTGAAGGAAGTATCAACAGGTCATGTAATCATCAGGAGATCATTTGGAAATAGAATACTGAATACCTTTGTATACAGTGGTTCATAGAGCTTCTGGTATTTAGCTTCAAGTGCTGCTCTTTCCTCAAAAAACTTGTCTCAAGCCTCATCAATGTTGACCCTGGAATTGAAACCAGGGGGGGGGGGGGGGGGATCAACGCTCAATAGCTAAAGACGAAATATGGAAGTGTGCAATCTTGATGAAGGCAATATTATATGAGCAATGTACTTCAGAAATTAAAACGAAATTATAATACGAAGGATAAGTAGAACAACAATACTACACAAAAATAGAATAATAATACTAAGAATGATGCACGGATGCAGTTCAGAAATCATTTAGTGATTGCATAAATTCCAATGCAAAGCCTATTATCCTGTGTAAACAACAACCATGTAGAACAATGATAATGCAACTAATTAGTCATGTGTAGACTGCTGACATCTTGATGGATGCACTACTTGCTCAGTAAACTTACAGACAACAGAACACTTACGTGCAAATGCTGTCCTCCAGGATGGGTGGTCTTTCTATTTCGTCTGCATTCTATGTGTACACACGGGTCAAGTAAACTAATATGTTAACGAAACTCCACAATTTTGAGCTTGCAAATGAAGTATGTCACATATATTGATTTAATTAGACAACAGCATGAAAAACACTGCCAAGTAACGAGTTCCTTTTGACAGCACAAGAAGAGGTGCGTATTCTATCTTTTCTAAGACTTAATGCGTAACAATTTGATATTGTTTCATAACAATCCAATATTGATTTTTATCGTAAGCGACAACGTATCTCAAGCCTTACACAGTAAAAAATTCATAGATTTTGTACATTTGATCCTAATATAAACAATCACTCCACCACCTTGCACTATACAAGATATTTTACCTTCACAAGGTAAAATGGATAAAGATGTCAACCAACGCAAAAAAAAGGTACATGGAATCTGTGGATAGAAAACACCTAAAATGAACCCAAAAGTAATTTTCCTACAAACAACTAACATGCCCCCAAAAAATTTACTTTTTAAGTATTAAATTTTTTATAGTAGCAATGGAAAAGATCTAGGCAGTTCTGTTCCAGTTTCAGCTTGGACAATATCCAAGTAGCTACTCAAACCTACAACTAACTGACTAAGATAAAGGCAGTGACAAGATAAATGGTCAGTAGCAAATGAGAGATGACAAAGTTTGATCAAGTAGGCATTGTGATCATGAATACCTTGCATAGCATTACAAACACTAATCAGCCAAAACAATTAACTTTTAAATTAATTTACTCAAGAGATAGACAAACCCTAGCATATAAAGTTAAACTATTGTAAGAAATATCAGACCTGGATCTCCCTCAAGAACTCAACACGCTTCCTGACCTTCGGACCGAGCGACTCCAACACATCCGATTGCTGACCCGCCAAGCTCTGCAACTTATCCTACAAACGAAACAAAAACCCCCCAGTCATCAAAAACCCTAACCCTAAATCGAACAAACCATCAAAAACCTCACCTTGAGGGCGCTAACAAGACCAGCTCTATCCTCAGCACTTAGCCCTACAAATGAATAGCACCAAATCTCAGTAAAAACAAAAATCCATGAAAATTTTGATGAACAAGGAACAAGGGGAGAGATTACCGGCAGTGATGGAGGAAAGACCAGCGCCGAGATCGGCCATATTGAGGGAATCCTGCTGCTTGTTGTCGGCCATTTTTGCCCTAACTTTATTAATATTATTATCACTTATTGAAACCCTAGCCGCCGGAGAAAAACCCTAGGGCTTTCCAAAGAGAGAGCAGGGGACTAGAAACGAGGAAAGAGGGGGGGGATAAAGGAGATGAGAAGGGTATTTATAGTAAAAGCACAGGTTCATGTTTTGGAGTTTTTTGCATATATGCATCCAACTTCTACCGTATTTGCAAATTTAACCTCCACATCGAATATTTACTAATCAACCCAAGTCTGCCGCATTTATTTTTGGACCCCTCAATTTTATAATTAACAAATAATCCTTGATTATGTTAATTAATTATATCACCATTTATAATTAAATTTAGAAAGAGAGAGGGGAGGATATGGGGTGCGCACTCCTATAACTCTCTGCTCCTTCCTCCATCTAATTATAATTTATTGACTTGAATTAGCTTAATCAGTTTCTGTACTAGTGATATTTAAAAATTAAGGTCAAAGTACGGGATTTGGAGGGGGGGGGATTATCAGATATTTCAAAATTCATAAGGCAAAATTACAAATAAGTTGGAATTATGTACGCAAGAAATCTATGTTCGTAGGGTTTCGGTTTGGTCTCCTGGAGCGCCGCAATAGGGGCAACGTTGGAATTGCACCGTGGCCCGCCGCCCATTCGCACCTTCGGCTGTGAAGCGGGCCGGGTTGAGGGTTCGAGGCCCGTTTGGTTTTGGTTTTGGTTTTGGTTTTGTAGAGGGCGAAAGTGGAGAGTGGGGTTCGGGAACTTGGAAAAAAGAAACACGCTGTTGAGCCTTTTTTGAATTCGGCTTTGGCCCCGGCTTTCATGTTTTGCTTTTTCAGTTTTTTTGTCTAGCTTAATTTGAATATTAAGTAGCATTTGATGCCAGCTAATTAGCATTTAAATATTCTTATAGTTTCGTCTACTTCGCACATATTCCTCATTTGTTTTCGACAGCACTCATAGTCATTGATGAGTATAGAGCTTTTCATGACAAAAGAGGTTACATCCTTCGTTACATTGAGGCGCTTTTATACGAGAAAAAATGGAGTAGTTTCTCTAGTTTTCATGACAAAAGCGAATCATCATATATGCTCACTTTTTCTCCTTTGGCAAATTATCTTTGGTACCCAAATATAATTTGGGAGAGGGTGTTAATATTGTAGTTAGGTTTTCTTGTTTTTCACGAGACAGATCCATGAAAAATGTAAGTGGTTGTCTATGAAAATGATGTTGGAAATATATCAAATAATTAAGATTATAGCATGAAATAAATCCGAAATCAAACTAAATGAGAGATAAGAAAAATTAGGCCTGACGGGAGCAGTCGTGTATTTACTGTCCTAGAAGATTGAGAACCCGCCTATCGCCCTAGCGCAAATGGTTCCCTTCCCCTAGCGGTAAAAGCCCCCGGAAACGGCCGGCCTCTGCACTCGGGCGAGAGTGCAGAGCTTCAGCTCAGATGAAGGAAGTTGCCCATCAAATAAAACTAAGATGTAGATGAAAATAATATGTAAGGGAGAAGAAAAACAAGAAAAACTTGTTGTATATTTCTCCTTATTATTTTTTCTTATGATTTTGAGCTCAACATACAAATATATATATATATATGGTTGGAAAAGACGTTACAAAACCCATAATTAATTCCGTAACGTTTGTCATAATATATAGCCATTATGCTCATTTTAAATTCTAATTAAAGCATATTTTAATTACAAAATTTATTAGTATTCATTAAGACAAAATTGCCTTTTCTCCAACAAAATATCCAACAAATGATGTAGTAGTAATTTCCATTGCGAGAGAGGTGGGTGGGATAGTCCCTTATGTCTGTATGCATGAGATTGACAGGTGCAGCGACAATTTTATTACTCTGTGACAAAGGAATTTCCTAAAATCTACATTTCAATATTTTCTGTTATACAAACGTGAGAATTTTTTTTTCCAAATATCTTCTTACGCAATCACAAACTAATTTTAAAACTTTTTAGTCCTTAATGTTTGTTGAATTGGTAAATACATCATAATTCTATTTTAAGATAAAATTGGAATAAGTTTAAAATAGACTTTAGGGCACATTTGATATTAAATCTAAGAAATATTTAGGATTAAAAAGTTCTAAAATCAGGTTTTGAGTGTCACATGGTAAAATTCAAAGAGAAATTATCCCATTTGCATAATAAAAGATATTAAAGTTATATTTTTTAAACTATATGGTATATAAGTGTTGCCAAAACAAGTGAGGGTATTTAAATACAAAGTAGGCAAAACCATAAGGAACGTTTGATTTTCAGTCCTTTTATGAAAAAGAAATACATTTTTGTAGTCGTAATTTCTCAAAAGTTATACATCAATTCCTTATTTTGCCAATAAGTTGAACCCCTAACACTATGTAACGTTTATTTGTTTAAATTCAAAGTTTTCGGCTGTAGAGTTGAGCTATTTTATTGTCGTGCGTGCACGTCTTGCATTAAATATTGTCGACTACATTAGGGGTGTGCAATGGTCGGTTCGGTTCGGTTTTTACCAAATTTTGAACAACCTAACCGAACCTCTTTTAAATCAAAACCGAACCGAATTGTTACAAGTCGGTTCGGTGCGGTTCGGTTCGGTTTGTTCGGTTCTAACTTCATCAAACTTCTTATCAAACAACAAACTGTGTTAAAGAAAAAAAAGATATCAACAAAGTAGGAGATTATGAAGCATTAAACACTGATATAATGATATTGTTTTTAACTCATAATGATTCAGAAAATAAGTTTAGAGTTTGAGTCTTTGACTCTTTTGGTACGGGTCGAGTAGTGTTTGAGATCAGAATGGGTAGTATTGCACTATATTCGGTCGGTTTGGGTCGGTTCGGATCGGTTCGGTCGGTTTTTTTGGTTTGGACCGAACCATGCTCAGCCCTAGACTACATTATGGACAAATTTTCAAAACTACCCTATTTGAACATTTAATCCCAAAAAACAACCTATTTTGAACTTATTTGCAAAAACCGACTTGGTTTCAGCCTTGGCGCTGAAAGCAGCTCGGTTTTTGTGAAAAAGCTTCTGAAACTTCACATGAGTTGAACTCCCGTGAAGTTTAGTAAATTTGCTAAACTTCACGGGAGTTGAAGTCCCGTGAAGTTTAGCAAATTTACTAAACTTCACGGGAGTTCAACTCCCATAAAGTTTCAGAATTTTTTTTTCTCCAAAAACCGACCTGGTTTCAGCTCCAGAGCTGAAACCAGGTCAGTTTTTAAAAATTAGTTCAAAACAAGACTTTTTTTGGAGATTAAATCTGAAAATATGTTGGTTTTGAAAATTCGTCCACTACATTATTGGTAGAGGTAACGCACCGGGAAAAAACTAGAACCAAGCAGCCCAAGCTGAATCTAGGCATGTAAATTTTTTAGCTGAAACTGAGAAACAAAAGTATGAAAATGACTTGCTTTTATCACTCCGGTTGTTTTGTTTAATTGAAAGTATAAGTAAAAAATGAAATGTAAAAAATCGGCTCTATTAAATTTAATACATTTTTAAGTTCACCTTAAAAGTGCTCATATCATATGAAAGTGGAAAAGTGGGAACCACTTTTAACTAAAAAATCATTTTTTCTAGTAAATTACAATTTTCCAATAAATATTGTTAATCAAAAAATATATTTTATTGTATCGACCAGAACATAGAATGAGAACTTATTTATGGAAATTTTCTATATTAGCCCCTTAAAACTTAACTATTTTAAATTAGTCACTGTAAGATTACTAAAATTGCTATCAAATAAATAGTTTGTTATTACAAATAATTAAAATTTTAATACAAAATAAAAATATAAAATATAAATAATTTATAAAGTTTTGTTAGGGATTTATTTTGTAATAAAATAAATGAGTACTTTTACCCATATGTATAACTCATTTTCAATTCATTTATTTGTAGTCACCAAAAAATATTGGAAGATACAATCTGATTTTAAATAAATAAAATGAATTATGTTGCTGCATCATCTTTATTTTTCTATCTTCAATAGTTATTTGCTTTTGTAGACAAACACGGTGGCTCACTTGCGTGTGGATACACTTTTTAACTTGCAAAGAAAAAGTGACTTTTACACCTTCGATTCACTTTCAATTGGCTAAACACCCCCTAAATCGGAGAACACTACATAACATTATCATATCCTGGTAAAACTATAGGCTTATGGTTTGGCATGGGTATCCACTCTAGTATTCAACCTCGATAACAAATTAGCCACGATCATTAACTAAATGTTAAAAATTAGCAAACAAATCCCAGTAATGTAAAAAGATCAGTTTTCTTTACACTGGCAGTGTGCCGTCTGTTATAAGACAAAAGGTGATTAGTGTTACATTCTGCTTCCCTTCAAATACTCCCACAGGGTTTCTTCTAGCAAACTCAGCGAAGGCAATATGCAGCTGAAAAAAGGAAGAAGTAAGAAACTCTCTAGCATCAAAAGCTTCAGAGCGATTAATCCTTCAGCTAGCAAAAGATCTCAGCTTGCCATTTCTCTGCCTGCACAATTCGATGAAACTAAAATTAGAGGTCAGGCAATTTAGGTGTCAGTAGCTGTGAAGAAAGAGATTCGCAACAAAACCTTAGTCCCTAATTTTCTACATAAATCATATATTTCCATTCAGTTCTATTTAGGGTCATCTCCTTCATTAGGTTAATTGTTATCCTTCTTATTACTTCAAACCTCAGGGTAAATAGATTTACCAAAATGAATCCTTCTTTTCCTGGGCTAATAACTCCTCAAACGAGATATCACAGAAGTCCATGTCCGCTGCCTGATTCTGTCTGCCCTTGAGCTCCATGTTAGCACCGACTTCAAGCATCTAGAAGAAGAAAGAATTGAAATGTAAAATCGGTATTAAGCTGTATTGCTGAAGAATAAGCCAGCTATGCCAGTACCGTTTTGTATGCAGGTGAAAGCTTAAGCTGTTCCTGTATTAGATTATAAACAGCTGCATCCTCCTCTAGCCTCTTCTGCTCTGCCTCTAGCTTGTACATCTGCACAAAATAAATCTAGATTCATTGCTTATGCTGTCTATTATAACTAATGCTGAGCGCATTCTAGATTCATTACTTATGCTGTCTATTATAACTAATGCTGGGCGCTAGACACCTAGAAAGTAATAGACAAGCAAACCTGTTGGCAAAGGCGATCAAATGAAGATCTATCTGCCTTGACCAATAATGCCTTCTTTATTTTAAAACTTCGTTGGATGACCTCTGACCTGTCAAGGAGAAGAGAGATGATGAATTTAGGGAACTTGGTTCATTGAGAAAAGGAATAAAATGACGCCAGCAAAAGAATAGCATTCGGAAAAATGGCTACATACCTGTGCTGCAATTCATTTCTTGCTTCCACTAGACAATTGACAAATCGACCAACCTACATAAATTAAGGCGGTAAAAATGGGTTAAACTTCTGCATCTTTCATAGATAAACACCAATTATATGCAGGACACTTCCTCTATCCAAAAGTTGGTATGTGACATGATTCCTGCCACCCGTGTCTGACGTTAAAAAATACATCAACCTTTATTCACTTCAAAAATATGTGCAAATTAAAGTAGGTGTTGCCCACCTTTTGATATATCTAATCATATACAGTTTTAGGTTCCTTCACATGTAAATGGCAACCTGCTGTATATATTTTGTAAGTTAAATATACATATATCTAAAAGATATGGTTGTATCTGGATTTTGGGGGATTGCCTTGTCCTGCGCCCGTATCCATGTAAATACAAGGCATTAAAAATCATAGGAGACAATCGAGAACTAAAAACTATAATAGCAGACAGCTGAAGTTAAAAAGAAAATTTTGGTGGTTATATACATCACTCAATAAACTGGCATCGAGAATATTCCAAGAACAAACTTCAATAATGTAAATGAAGAAACAAAGGATCAATAAGAATTACCTAGCTCAATGTTAATTGGTAAACAGAGTATAGTTCACACCAAATGGACTGTGGTTGAAGCAAGGTATTCATCCGGTCATGTCACTGGTATGGAAGTGCAGTCTCAATTGATGTCAGGGAAACAAAACAAACTTGCACCTAAGTATTGACTGTCAATACACCGACAAGAAGTTAAATTTAGTGATGAAAGGTGCTGACACGCTAACAGGAGTAGGATATCTCATGTAGAAACACTTGTCTTAGCATATTTCCTTTTGTAAATTGATCCCATCAAAAACTATGTTATCTAAGCCTTGCTAGGCAAAATGGGACACAAACTACACATAGAAAACTCCAAATGCAAGAGACTGATTCAAACTACTTTAGACTCCTTGACTAAAACTTCAAATGATACCAGCACAAATGTTTTTGCCTCTTAAAGATTCAAATGATAAATGCTTTTTATTTTTCTTCTTTTCTAACTCTACTGCTCTCATCTAGGCGCTTTTCCTTACTATTGCCTCAACTCTTTACTGGAGATCACTTTGATATTACGGGGTGCAACTTCACCTAAAATCAATTATTTGGCAGCATATTTTCCTATTTCAACCACATATCTATCTTAACCTTCTCATAATTTTTTCCCCTAGAACCTCTTTATTGTGAAGCAACCTAGTATACTCAAAGTGCATCATTGCCATTTTCAAAAGTTGTCGTGAAGTCACTAATGCAATCATTGGCACCAAGAATCACATATCTTCCTCATGCATCAGCTCTAATCTTCTTAAATAACATTTTCATCTACTTCCCATTACAGGTGTATGATTCGAGCCAGTCCGAGCTTCAGTTGTTAAAGATCTAAAGTACATGCTTTTTATGGCAGCTTGGCCATTGATAATCTAGCTTGGGTTGATAAGTAACTGAGTTTCCTTTCCCTGAAGAAAGGCTGTGAGCTTATTTCACCTATGCTAGGTTTAGTTAAACAAGATGAAATTAATAATACAGTACAGGTACATTGGCAGATTTAAAATCCAAGCCTTCATGATGAAGTAACCTTAGCTTAGGCAGTATGATCCTTCCTTAAGGGAACTTGTGGTTCCAGATCTCCCTACTGAAGTACATGAGGTGAGTTTTAAACACTATAGCATCTTACTCAGTCCATGAAGCTCATTGTCATGTGCAGCAGAAGGACCAATAACAAATCATTCTTCCATTTTGGAGGAATTCTTGCTCCCGCCATGAGAGTTTTTCCCTAGTGTATGGACTTCCTCCAAAGATACTTCGAGGTACCCTCCACCCCTACTCCACCCCCTGACCCTCCCTCCGTCTCCTATCTAGTATTTCCCTTCCTCACAATGCAAGTCTACCAGCCTTTGACCGTTCCTTCCTCATATTATTGAATAATTAGTACTCGTCCCTTAAAACTAGTTGGCAAATTGAGCTTGTATTTAAACTAGAGTCAATTGAGGCTTGAGCTTAGTTTGTTCATAACTAGAGCCAAACTTGGTAGTTAAATAGACGAGCAAAAAAGAGCTTTTTTCAAGCTGAGCAGAGTTTCTCATCGACAGCTTGCAAATATTTACAGCTCTTTCACTTTCTTTTGTATAATATCTATAGAGCACAAGACGAACTGAAATTGGTACAATTTTACTTCTGAAAAAAAACTTATTATTTCTGATTCCTCCGACAATTGCATTGTCTTCCATTTTTATTCCCCTACTCCCAGATTTCCTCTTCACTCTTAGAGACTAAAGCTCAACATCATCAATATTTTACCAGTAGCATAAGAACAATCTGCAACCAGTGAGAAACACCATAAGTTTAGGATGATCATTTCATACGAATGCGTCCAATACTAGTCAAGACATTTAATTAAATTCCAAAATTTTGCAGATCAAGCAGCTTAAGGTGCACATTATAGACAAATTCAATCTAATTTCAAGTAATAAGGAATAAGAGAAATTTGCAACTATAATCTTTTGGTAGATTAAAAATTCAGATTAGGATTCCCCTGGGTTTCTGATTTGCATGTAGAGCTTTGACATTTGTTACCATTTTGCTTTGCTTCCATGGGATCAGAATTCAGAAGAATCCTCTCCGGCTTCCTCTACCATCTTGATATGTTTATTTTCGTTGATGATATTCTCTATAAAAAATAAAAATAAAAACTCTCCTGCTTCCTTGTCTCCAGATTCTTCTAGAATTATATTTATGAGCCAGAAGCTTCTTATTAGTGTCAAATCATTGAAAAGTGACTTCGATAAACAAAATTAAATAAATTTTAAATATATATATTTATAACTTCCAAAGGCATATAATATAGAGCACCCTCCGCCCCAAGTATTCACCTTTTCATTTGTCTATTCTTTATATGATCAATGATTGGGGGGAAACAGATGTGGATATAAATACTACCAGTGCATTAATGGAACTACTTTACTTATAATTTCATGCTAGTTAAATGAATGGCCACAGAGAAGTCATGATGCAGCATGTATCAAAGTATGTCTCATGTACTCACAAGAATATCATGGTGATGTTGGGTTCAATTCTTAAACATTGAAGGACATACGGCTTGTAGATCATTCCAATTATCTAACTCAGGAATCCAAAATTTCTGGTATTTCAGAAGGTACCAGTTTACCAGGTTATGAAAGGAGGAGAGAGCCCACAGACTGAAAGTTGTGTCAAAAGATATTGGAAGCCATATTGCCGCAAAATAATGTTGCTAACGAGTAAGCAAACCTTAATATCGAAGGTAGATCAAAAGCTAAGTCATCAATTAGCTCAAGAAATAGAATAGGAAATACTTTAAATTGGTGATTTGACCATTATAGAAAATCATATTGAGGTTGAATTCCCAAGCCAACTCAACAAGTTGGGCATAGTAAACTCCCAGATCCAAACTGAGCTCATTTATCAACCAACTGAGCTTCACTGAGCTAAATATGAAATTATTACACTTTTCCAAAAAGCCGTTTATTCTTTGACAATGTTAATCAGGGAATTAGTAGCATCACATATTATGTGAAAGAATTATACCATTAACTTAATAAATGGTGAAATCATCAAACAAAAAGACACGTTGCACCAAATATAGCAAAGGATATGTCAAGGGCACAAAACTGGTTGTCAGTGATTACTCGTGGTTAATCGTAGACAATTATGCCAGCAGAGATATCTTACCGCACAGGCATAAGATCCAGTAGCAATCTACAAGAGCTACTTTGAGGTCCTCAACCATATTCCAAGAACAGATGCTTGCTTCTGGTTATTGGTAGACCAGCGGAGCCAGGACCCATGGGATAGTGGGGGCAATAAATTATAAATAAATAAAATATAAATCCACTAAAATAAATTCACTAATACATTCCATCATTAAAAAAGGATATTTTACAATTGTTCTTGATGAGTTTGCATTTTGTTTATCTTTGTCCAATCAATTCATTTTCAATCGTCTTAAATATCTCTATTTTAATATAAGTAACTAAACAAGTATTCAACCAACCATCTCTCTTTCAATTGTACAGGCGAGTCTTCACAATTTTCATAGCTGAAAATGGTTTTTGGGTTTAACTAAATGCGCCATATCAAAATCTATTGCAACTAATGAAAAATCAATTATATTTAAAATACATGTCATGATAATAAAAAATATAATTTAACTAAACAAGCATTCAACCAACCATCTCTCATTCGATTGTACAGGCGAGCCTTCACAATTTTCATAGCTGAAAATGTTCTTTGGTTATTTAGTAACTAAATGAGCTTCTACTTAAAATACATGTCATGATAATAAAAAGTATAATTTATTTAAACCTACAAGTGGACTATAATGAAATTAAATTTTAAATCATCTATAATGGTCATGTGTTTAAAGTATCATGGGGGGCCAATATTAAGCTAGGTCTCAATTATAATACTTATGAGGGTTATTTTGCAAAAAGAACTTTGAGTGGGGGCATTTTCCCACACTGAGGTATATGTGGCTCCGCCACTATTGATAGACATGATTACTAGTATTTTTTTTCTTAACAATGCTACTCTGACAAAGTTTGCAATTTTGCCGATTAACAACGACACAGGCCATACAGTTCTCTAAAGATCATGTTGATTGATCTCATCAGCTTTCTACTTATAACGTTCTCCCCACATAAAAAATGCATAGCTATGGGGAAGACTAACAGGTTCTCTAGGCATGACCAACTTTACTTTCCCACCTAACAGAAAGTGCCTGGTGGACCATCTTGAACCAATCAATATACTTCACCATATAAGTTGTGCACTTTAAAACATGAATCAAAGATTTTCTCACTTATCCATCAAGAGGCCTATGTAGTTCTAATTCACCAACCATACATTTAAAGCCAATTAACGCATTAGTTTTAGGTCCTCGTGATATATGACTTCATTTACAGCTATTAGTAAATCATGGTGACTAGAGCGATTTGTCAGGTGGAATAGTCCATGATGGACTCCCATAGATGA